CCTTCAGTGTAGCAGGCATAGTTTTTTAAAGGCAAAAACCACAAAATGGGGAGGGAGCAAGCAAGTTACAGAAGCAAATCGCATTGGTTAGTGTAGGTTGCCCTTTACAATAATTGGTGGTTTACAATACCGGATGTCCAAATGGAGTAAGTCCGAGGGTAGCTGGGGGGTCTAACCTTGTGGTTGTCATGTTCCGGGAACATTTTTAAGAAATCGAGGTATTGTGACCTGGGACATCCTGTTGTTATGGCTTTCAATAGTTAGACCATGGGTTTGGGAATGTATGTGTCTTGCAAGAATTTAAACAAGGGGAGGGCCAAGGGCAACTTCTTGGCTAACTCAGTGGTTTTAGTTGTTTTCCAAGTAACAGGACCCCATCCAAGGTTTTCTTATGTCCCCTTTGTCTTAGGGACATGGTTTGCCTGAGCTCTATAGCCACAAACCAGCAGGTGGGCCTTTTAATTGAAAGACATTTTACCTATTTATTTCTATATGTGATCTTAAAATTATTTGGGCTTTACACACTTACCAGGCAGGCCCTGTGTCACTGAGCTATATGCCCAGCTAATGTAGAACTCTTGGCTTGCCTAATACAGAACTCTTGGCTTGCCTAATATAAAACTCTGAGGCCCTGGGTTCAATCCCCAGCACCACACACACACACACACACACACACACACACAGCAGCAGCAGCAGCAGCAGCAGCAGCAGCAGCAGCATTTATGTTTAGCTTTCCAGATTTCCCAGATATTACAGTTTGTCGTGTCAGCCTTATTCCCTGCAGTTATTTTTGCTGGAGCCGTGGAAGAGTAGCAGGCCTGACGCCCCTTGCCTCTACGCACTTCTGTATTTCCAGAAGGGGAGTTTAGCCAGGCATAGTGGCTCATACCTGTAATCCTGGCCCTTGGGAGGCTGAGGCAGGAGGTTGCTGTGAGTTCAAGGCCAGCCTAGGCTAGATAGCAAGTTCAAGACCAGTCTGCGCTACATAGTGAGACCCTCTCAAAATACAAAACAAATAAACCAGATGAATTTATAACATTGAAATTTTGGTGTCCCCCTGCCTCTCAGTGCTGGTGACAGAACCAAGAACCTCCAAGTTCTAGACAGGGTCCCTGCTGCAGAGCCGCCCAGCCCCAGCGCTGACATTTTTAAGGAGCACGGCCTCCTGGTTTCGTAGACTGTTCCCCAGTGTGCTGCGTCCTCCTGAGTGGTCTCTGTTCTGCACTCCCAGCAGGCAGGTCCTGAGCTTGTTGTCATTGGTCACCTCTTGGCTT